TTCCGATTCTGCACCTCTTTCTCATGCTCCCTGCAAACACATCAATTGAAGACAATGCGGCAAAGACTGGAACACCCACCAGCCAGCCTTACGAGCGGAGGCCTTGTCTCAAATGCTGCACCGCCCGGTTCTAATCCCAGGAACGTCCACGAGAACCACGGGCGCGAGAAACATACAGCCGGCTTTTCTGCCCGGTGCCAAGCCTGCAGACTTCACACTGACCCATGCGGTTTGTTATGGTTTTGAGTAAGCACCCCTGTCATTTTGTAAGTGCAGTGGGGGGAAGGAATTCCACTGCAGGGGAGGGGAGTAACACGGTCGCTCTCTGAGCAATGCAATATGAAGAATATTTACCCCTAGCAACAGATGCTGGTTACTGGAATAGAAAGTCTGTTATTGTAGATTGCGTGTGAGGTTTACAACAGGCGATCAGGCAGAATGGCAGCAGCTGCCAAACTCTGCCCCCCCACACAGGAAGCCTATAAGGTGGAGGAAAGAGACCTCCTAGAGACATGCTCACAGCAAGGGAAGGTAGTCCTGGCCTCTGCTAGGTGTTTCAGTGGGACAGTAAGAGGCCACGAAAGGGCCCTCTGAAAGTGATGCAAGATGCCATAGCAGAATGGGACCTATGGGATGGGGCAGAGGTTAGAAGAACAGAGCAAAGCGATGGCTGACCAAATACCAGAGCCCCCCATTTGGTTCAGCAAGCAAGCATCTGCTCGGATGTCCTAGGCCAGTGTTTCTCAAACAGTGGTTTACAAGTCCCCTTAGGGGTACACGAGAGAAGTCGGGTGGGGGGAGGGTACGTCAACACAACTGAAATTTGGAGAAAACTGAATTTTTGTTGCAAGTTTTATAGCGTTTTATTATTTTTGTACTTTTTACACTCAAAAATTTCATCGCCCACCTGGCTATGATTAAGTTGCTTAAACAAATGTGTTGCAATGGTAGAAAAAAATGTTGAGAGTCTGAAAACTAGATGCTGTGGGTACTTCTACATTTTTTTTTCTGAAAAAGGGGTACTTTATAAAAAAAAAGTTGAGAAACACTGTCCTGGGGGTGTGTGCGAGAAGACTTTCATAAAATGTGGCCTTGCCATTTAAATCTACATTTACCAATAAGTCTGCAGAATATAAATTTGTTCCCAGCGACCCCCCAGATCGCTGCATCAAATGCACCAGTCCCTGCCGGCACCTAGACTTCTATTAGTTGACATACTGGATCCCCACCCATGGTCCAGCTCACCTGATGCCTTGTTTCCATTAGCAGGACAGGCACCCCACAAAGGAATATGGTTTTGTAATTCTCCTGAGCCGCTAGCTATCACTTCTATCCCTAGGGATCTCCAGCCCTTTTCACTTCACCATGGTTAGTGAAACTGAAAGACTATTCAAGTAGTAATTAAAAAAACCAAAACATTACACTGTTTGCCTCCACAACATCCTGCAGCAAGTAGTTTCACAAGTGGGCAATGACTCCATAAGACACTGGTCGGTTGCCTTTTCATTTCATTGAAAGCTTTTGTATTTTGTCTTGCACAATGGGAAAGGATAAATAGAAGTGACCGGCAAGTCTCCTGCAAACTGTGCATTATTTATATACCTCTCCTGCTGCGGCTTCCCTTCTTTCCAGATTAAACCATTTCAGCATTTTACAGTTGCTCCAGAGAATCCCTAGATACCTGCTGGCCTTTCCACACACTCTTGTCCCTCCACTGTGCATGCTGTAGTTCTGCTAAGTTCTGGGTAAACTAAAAGCTGTGCAAGTTATAAGATGATTATATTGAAAATATTCCAGCAGCAGGATACAATTTCCTACGCCTTTGTTATGATTTAACACCTTGCTCACTGTTTTAACAGCTACAACCTAGTAACCAGGTCACTGCGCCACCCAGAATAAGATATGGATTTTTTTTAAAAGACAAAGTGGCTTTGAAAACCGGTTCTAAGTTAGATCAGTCATAAAGTTCAGTGTTTTATATCGGCACAAAGGCAAAACCTTTGGCTGCTGTGGCCAGATATATATCTGCACCTCAGTGCATAAGGTGTTCCCGTTACCTTAAATAACCATGCCATCAAGTTGCAGAATTGAACTCCATCTACCAGACTAGAACATCAGAACCAGCACTGTCTAGCTTCCCCACCACACTCCCAGGGTGGAAGCATGGCATTCCTCCAACACGTATGTTTTCTGTGGCTTTTTGAAATACATGACTTTCTGTAATTCTAGAAAGTGCTTCTCCCTGTGCAGGGAGCCAAAGCAAGAAAAAAAAAGAAAGAAAATGGCCAATGGCTCAGACCTCCAGACTGGGTGCCAAGTACCTTCCGCTCCCAGCGCTCAATTCGAAGTGAAATGTCTCTATGGCTGCACACAGCCTGACCTCAGGCCCCAACTCAATCTCATTTATGACACCTGGTGGCCTTCTAAGGCACCGGAACTGTCAGTGTAAATGGGCATCACATTGCAGCCCGCTGGGCTCTTCAGCACGCGGTCTGCAGGCGCTCCCAAGACCACCTGACCCCCACTGTCCATCTCCCGCCGCCACCGCGAGCGTGTGCAGTTTGCTCACTTCTTTTGGAAAGCAAGGAGCAGCCTTGGGTCGAGAATATTCTCTTCGGGTTCCCAGCTGTTGTGCCTGGAAGAGAAAAGGAGACGCAGCCTGGAGGGAGGGGAAGCAAG